ATTTATAGGAGGAGCCTACGCTGTCTTGTCTTCTTCCCTGGTTTCCCCCTGGTGTTGATAGTGGTGTTCATTCTGAATAGTAAAACTCATTCACTTAATACTAACGTTAGCTAGTTAGGCTGTGTGTTGGAGATCAGTAATTCACTTGAAAGATATTCAATTAGTTAAATGGTTTAATTAGGGTTAGGGGGTGACAAAAATAATCGTGACTAGTCAACTAATCGAATAAATAATTAATTGACCAAGGGAAATTGCATAGAAAACGTTACAGCTCATAATGTGAGGTAACCATGGCTTTGACGCAAAGCTAGCTTTCTAACTAGCTTACTGAGATGAGTCTTCATCATCCAGTGAGCCACAATGTTACATGCCTCCTATTCAGGAAAGCTCAGCTTTGCAGATGCTGCAGTTAACCTTTTTGGCTGAGTGAAGAGTAAAATGCTCCCACACTTTGGAGGTTTTAGGTTGTGAAGGTGTTACTACCAGCGCTGATGTTGTTTTATGCACTCACTGCTTGGTCTGAGGTCCTTTTGCAGGAATTACAGCATCAATGTGGCGTGACATGGAAGCAATCCGCCCATAGCACTGCTGAGGTGTTATGGAAGCCCAGGTAGGGCTCTACGGGGTTCAAGTCAGGTGAGTTGGCTGGCCAATCAAGCACAGTAATAAATACCATGGTCCGCAAACCTAGTGGTTTTGATCCTGCAGGCAGGTGCCACCTTCCTGTTGGAAAATGAAATCAGCATCTCCATAAAGCTTTATGTGTAATTAATTTAGAATATGTCAGAGTTTCGTATTTTAACTTAAATTACAGAAAGAAAATTCTTCCCTTTTCACGATATTCAAATTTTCTTGAGATGCACCTAAGATTATAGTAGCTATATAGCTCTCTTTCAACAGCTGCTGTGAGGAAGGAGGCGTCTTTGCATTATATTAGGCGAAACGTACCGATCTCTTAATAAATCTGTGATATCAGCAGACTTTGGCATTTTCACAATAACAGCAACTTCGTTTTTTTTTTTTATGTAGGTTCACACCTACATTTATATCCGAAATTAACAAAAGTTTCTGATTTTAGATGAAGGCTAAAACAAACCGACCATATAGAGCAACAGTTTGTCCATACCACCCTGACACAGTGAACCACAGGGTCTTGTTAAAAAAAATAATGGAAAGGAAGTGAAATTTTCCATAAATGAATGTTGAATAATTCTTGTTTTGTGAACTAATCAAATAAATGTAACTTTTACTAGACATTTTTAAGTGAATTAGTATTTTTTGTACAAACAATGAGGCCACTGATATGTTGAATTCATATTCCAAGAATGAAAATCTAAGAATAATAAAAAAAATGATTAAATTACATACTTTATATTGATGGTTTCCAACAAAAGGACATTTTACTAGTAGGAAAACATTAGATTTTTAAAATGTATTTCTTGTATTACTACTCAAAGGGTGTACATATTGTCCGTGACAGGGTGGTACAAGAATGACTCCCATGTCTGAATAAAAGGATAATATTAATAAGGATTTTGTGCAGGAGGTGGGAAAATATGATTTCTGGGGGGTTTAACATATCTTTATAAGTTGTAAGTAAAAAAATAATAATAATTGTTTGCTTTTGATGGGGTGGCTGTGGCTCAGGAGGTAGAGCAGGTTGCCCGTTAAACGGAAGGCATGCAGCTCAATCCCTGGCTCCTCCAGGCTGCATGTCGAAGTATCCTTAGGCAAGATACTGAACCCTGAATTGCCTCTGGCTGTTCGCCAGTGTGTGAATGTGTGTGAATGTTTGTTTCTGTTTGAGCATAAATGTGTGTGAATAGTGAATGCAGATGTAGTGTAAAAGCGTTTTGAGTGGTCGAAAAGACTAGAAAGGCACTATACAAATACGGAGCATTTACATGAAAATTTGGAAAAATCTGCGCCTCAAAAACACCCGCTAGTTCTCCCTGCTGGGCGTTCTCAGCTGGCAAAAAACGCTGTGGTGGACACGAGGCCTTATGGTGTTTTCAGACCAAATGCGAATTCAATCCTCATTGCGCTTTCCTCGCGTGAGTACATTGGCGGCAAGTATTCACACACAACGTCAAGGTGATTAGAACTGCAAAAATTTGCTTAAGTTAGAAATTTTCAACTCACGCGATGGCCTCTGCGTCGCTGCCCACCCTGAGCCATGGTTCTGCGTGAGGTTTCTGCCTCTTAAAAGGAAGTTTTTCCATGCCTTCATGGGAATTGTTAGGTTTCTGCACACACACACACACACACAGCATATATGCATTCACTCAGACTATATTTAGTCTCTTTTCCTTGGCTATCTGAACCACCAGGTGAAACTTTACTTTTTCCTTTGATTGGGGGTTGATGCTAATTGATTCTGGCTCCAGAGCTGTGAAGTCTGCCCTCTGTTCCTGCTTGACACAGCACTGCTCGGCTGCAACTCGAGTCGCTTTCCAGGGGCGTCCATAATTGGAACCTTCAGAAATAAGAACTAGTATGCAACTCTCTAATGACTATTTCAGCATTGCACTATTGTACTGTAAAATAGACTACTTCATAGCATTGTATAAGCATTTGTAACTCTAAGCCATCCTTCTACTGCATTACTATACATTAATATTACATATTTTGCACACACACTGGTCTGGAATTCTCTCCAGAGTCAAAATGGTTACACACAAACACACACACACACACACACACACACACACACACACACACACACACACACTACAATACAACAGTATTGTTTTGCCAAATAAATACTTTCTGTTTCAACATTGCATTGGTATTTGCTGTATGTTTTATCAGTGTTTATTAAGATAATATGATACAACAATACAATATTATATACAATAGCATACACTAAATTTGATATACAACTATAAATGTATTCCTGCTAAAAAATAATTCTTTTTTAGTTTGTTAAATAATAATAATAAGTTATTGTGGGTCAGACTTGACTAAGACCAAGAATGCTGCATTATAATATTATATGCACACACGCGCACACACACACACACACAAACACACGCAAGCTCATCATATAGATGATGTCACACACTGCATAGTGTTTGTATGACAAACCAAAATAAAGTTAGATCCCAGGAAAGCTCAGTGGCTGCGACTCTTATCAGAGAGGAGAAATCCTGAATTGCAGAATTAATCGGCAGTTTAAAATATACCTCCTATCACATGTGACCTGCTGTGCATTAATTATTGATCACCTGTTTCTATGCTAGTGAGACATAATTACCTTCTGTAATGTGAACCCTTCATCAAATTTAAACATTTATATTGCTTATCTTTCTGCCTAACCCCCTGGCTACATTTTTCTAATTACACTAATCAAATTGAGTTTGAGAATAATTCTTCTCTTTGCTTCAATTAGAAGCAGGGATGATATGCATATTTCACTTGATCCCAAAGTACTTCACTTTTAACAAGGTGAAATGATGAATAATGTCTTCGTTTTGTCTGATGGTGTACTGCAGGTTAAGAAAGCATTTGCTTAGTGAATGCACAGCTACATGGCTATACTTTTAATTATAAAACACTCTTAAAATAGCCTAACTCTAAACTTCAAATATGTGAAAACATTTAACTTGAACAAAAATGTGGAGTGTAAAATTCAAACATAGGAAAATCCTGATCTTAATTTCATTGCTAACAAAAATCTAGCATCTGACTTACAAATAACTCAACTCAGTCATTGCTGGGTTCATGCAAATGTCTACATCCTCTAAAAAGCAGAGTTAGGTATGGCTCAGGTTAGACACATACCAATGCAAAATCCATGTAGGGCTCGCTTTCTGCTGAGAGTCTCTCAAAGACCAGGCTTCAGAGGCAGCTGTGTCAACAATGTCAACAATGTCTAACAGCAGGATAAGACCACCACTGCCCCCCTCAAAAAATTTTTTCCACTGCCTCGTGCCACTCGTCGAAACAAGCACCATGACATCGAACATAATTAGACTGAAGCCTTTAAAGTCTTTATAATTATTATGATATTCTATCATTATTATTTGATCCCATGAAATGACCCAAACTAACAATTGATTTATGCTACCAACAAGTCCTCTGATTCATAGAGCTTGTTGTCCAAAACCTATTAAAACACATCAGTTCTACTTTCCATTTCAAGTTAAGAGGATTTAATAATATAATTATAATTGCTTTTATATTGCTGTATATTGTCTGCTATTTAGCAGAAGGGAGTTACAAACTCAGTATCTCTTTACAACCTGTTGTAATGTGACAAATAAATGTGCTTTGTACCTTGAACCTTAAATTCCAAATTTGTTTGAATTATTACATATGTAAGGACATTGTCAGGTACCCCCTCCACCGGTGGTACTAGTCCTTTCTTGTTTACCACAGTGTCTATATTAGTGTCTATATTTTAGTTGGAATTTGAATACATGATTTATCTGCAGTGTATAATTAGTTGATTATGTCCCTGCTTTAACTTTATCATGGTTTAAAGATGTTTTTGTCAAATTAAACAATTTTTTTCTCTTGCTGTCTTTTTTTAAACTTACATTCCCAGGTTCAATCGACACATACATATCTGAAAAAGTCTCAAATAGCACAATGAATTAATGCAAGTTTAACTTCTGAACAGTCATACAGTTCAGTTCATTTGAAATAGTCCCCAAGAAATGCACAATTGTCTTATCTTTCAGCAGCTGTTTTAAGAAGACACTGAGCTTTTAAAAAAATGAAACTATATATTTGGGAGCTGTTTCTAAAGATTTATATCTTCAGCAGGGACCAGTGGGGTTGGAGCTGAGAGCCACAGAGTAGGGAAAGTACAGAAAGAAAGACTTTGTTGGTTTTGGTCATTTCGTGGGATTTGCTAGAAAAATACAGTTTAACACACAGAGCCAATCATACTCAGCCCTGGACTTGTGCTAGTGATAATTAAACTGTCAGACTGACCATCTTCCTAATCCCCTTGAGGATCTCTTCACTCTAAAGAGCAAACAGACAAGGACATCTTGAGAAAACAAAACTTTATTAATGGTTACTGATTAGTGGAAGAACCATAGTACATGCACATACAATGACTGGAGAGGAAGCGTTGTTTTGAACACCAACTGGAAGCAGAGCTTGTATAAAGTAGTTGCAGAGTCAGACATTCAGCATGGAGAGGACTATGAATGATCCAGTTTCTGATCGACAGTCCTCACACACAGCACACAGGTGAAGATTTGAACAAGCGGAGCCAGGCTCTTACTGCTGCCTTTTTTGTAATGTGATGCATCTGAGAGTTTTCCTTATCAAAAAGAGAGATATGTAACAATACCACTAATTGGGAATATTTGTAAACAGAATATGGCACAGGAAGCGGCCCGTAGGCTGGCTTGCAATGCAGCCGTAGCAGAACTCCTGTTGCCCATGTAGCGCTTTTCAAATACACTACAGATTTATTCCATTAACTTATATTTACATCATAGATTAGCTTGTTCACAAATCATTTATTTCTCATATTTAATTAGTATTATAATATTCAAACAGTTAATTTTCAAAGAGTAAAGGTTCATTTCTAGAAAATAACAGAAAGGATGTCACGTTAAGAATGACAGGAAATAGAAAGAATCCGAAATTACAGAACTGATAAAAAAAAAAAAGTAAGAAAGATTACAACTACAGCACTGATATGTCTAGGGTTATGTAAAATTTACAAGGACCATGTGCAAAATAATACAACTGACCAAGAAATGGATAAATAATACTATCTACATTACTTTCTTTGTAAAAATCTGAATATGATTTGATAGAAAATGAAATAGCTTGTCCTAACAACCGATATACTTGTCTACATCTAAAACATTATACCATTGTGTGTTTCATATAAGAGAACATATTCACTGCACAGTTCAAATATAATACATTGTTGGATTATTATACTTTACCCCTTTATATTTTAATTATAAAATAAAATAATCAAGGCGAAACAAAATTAACAAAAAGATAAAATATACACAGTGGATTTGGCCACTGTTATTTTTTTAATTTTTTTTAAATCTCTCCTGTAATATAAAAGTTATACCAATGAATATATTAGAAGTTTATACAAAAAACATCTACGTCTGGATGGTGAACACTGAGTATGGAAGAGGAGTAGTGCCACAAAACATTTCATCTCTGAATTCTGCAATTAATTTAATTTATCATATCAAATTTATTTTTTTTAATTCACACGGCTGTAATTCTTTTTCATATCACTAGACAAAGCAAATAAAAGGTTGAATAGTTTAGTTGCCATGGCAATCCTTTTTTCAGATCTAATAATTCATATCTATGTAGAATTTTGACTATACACATTAATACGCCAGAACCTTTGGCTTCAAGTGACGTAAGACATGACTACATTATTTAGTCACACAACCATAGCCTGAATAATGTGTTGACTGACACCATTCTCTCCCTAAAAGGATAACTTAACTACATTGCAGCTGTGATTGCTAATTTTTGTTGTTGTGGTGTTATTTTATCTAGAGATCACAACTTAATTACCCCATCATCGTAAGATAATTGTATTTTGCTTAATATTAATGGCAATGTTTTGGTGGTAAATATTTGTGCAGTGAGCTGGTAAAAAGAGATATCTGTCTATCACCATGAGCTTATACACAACTCATAAGATCAGTTGTTACATCAGCATTAAGTCATCAGCAGCAATCAGTCAAAAAACTACTTGCGACCAGCTGTTTCAATGGATTGACCTGCTGTAGAACAACTTGGGTCCAAGTTTACTTGCTTCTAGATATTGCACTGCAAAAGTTAGTTGTCATAGTTATCATAACTACAGCGGCAGCTCTCAGCCTGCTTTGACTCGCAAACAGAGGCGGATAGATTGAATGGATGAAATTGGGCTGCAGAACATGCAAATTTCATGATTATGCAGACAGATGCAACAAAGGATCGTGTCTTGGGGAAAGATTATTATCTTGGTTGGGCAAAATAATTCTGATCTGAAAGTAAACTTGCAGCCACAAGTAAAGTTTGTTCTCAAGGTAACAAGATAAAAAAGTTGAGACCTCGCAATTATGGGTGTAAAAATAGCAATCATGGCTGCTCTCAGCTTTACCTGCCCTCAAAAGTTCGGAGTTGAACTTTTTGTGTATCTCCATGTTCTCCAAGCCTTCTTTACTTCCTCCCGAACCAAAGGTAAAAAAGGTATCATTGCTAAACTGACAGAGGAAGTGCCAAAGCAAGCTGAGAGAAGTAAACAACAACACTTGACTAGCATAGTCACTTTAACACTCTTACAAAACATAAAAACCCCAAAGTGTGACTTTGACCTATCTTACAGGGTTGGAGTTCAATACAAGCCCTAACAATTTGAATCTGATAAATATTTCCTTTGTTTCCTAATCATTATTAGCAGCTCTCTATTAGTACCATGGAAAAACCTCTAAAGCTGATATTCTAGGTTTAAATCTTTAGAACTTAAAAAACCACAATATCAAAATACACAGCACAAAATATCTGAGGTATAAGATGAAAAATTTCAGCTGTCATTTTATTCTTCTTTTTTGTACTTCTGTGTTAGGACATGCTGAAATGATGCACAAAATGCATGTATTGCAATACCCAGGCCTCAGTAACATCTTTCATCTGATACTCGTTCTTTCATTCTCATTCGCTTACACACTCACACGCACACACACTTTCTTTCTGTCCGGTTGGAAGGTTTGAGGTGTTGCTAATAGGGTGCGAAGCGACTGTAGCCTCCCCGGTATATGCTAGCCTGGAGAGAGGACAGCACTAGCCCCACGTCGTCTGCGTGGCTCCGAGTTTTGGCATCTGTCAGCGGGGCAAACCCATTCTGCAACACACACACGCGCGCACAAACATATACACCCACAAGAGAATGAAAAAAAAAAACATATTCAATGGCACAGATACACAAAGGCATGGAGAAACACATACACCTATAAACCCCCATTAACCCCCCCGTAGTCTTGCACAAACAGGAGTTTTAACATTACATTACTGTAATTCCAGTGCAAACTCATGGGGGATGAAAAGACCAATGACTGGAGCAACCATCATGCAGCAAGCACAGTGAGACACTTAATGCCAGAGGTACATGCGAACAGCTATGTGAATGGCTCATCTTACTACATCTACTGATAAGTGTTAGCCATGCACAATGCTATCATAACTGATAGAAACAACAAAATATAACCCAAGTTGAAATAAAACCTTTAGTTTGTAGCATGTAGCAGAAGGAATAAAAAGTGCTTAAATATTTAACAAGACTTCTTGGTGTTTTGTATTTAACACTTAACAAACCTTATTTATTTAATTTCCTTTGGTTTGCAACATAGTTTAGTGATTAATTACACAGTAGCTGATCCTAGATTTTTGTTCCATTTGGAGGGCGTTTGCTACCAACTAGTCCTTACCTCCAGTCTGCCCAGCTTCCCTACTCACTTCTTTCCTCCTTCACCTCCTCCCTGTGGCTACAGCACCAGGAGGGATTTAATTATCAAAATGACTAATTATTTCATTACCAGGGAGTGTGGGGTGAGGTGGTATCCACCAAATTAGAAATATAATAACTAACATGGACTGGGCTGCCTAGGCATGAAGACATTCATCACCTTTTACAGGCAGGATTAATGTGTCATTTGGACTGCCGTTAGCGGTACAGACAAATTCAATTAAGTTTAAGTGAGGAGATGTCAGCACTGCAGAAAAGCTCATGCACAGCAACTAAAGAAGAGAATGGCGTGAGAAAGGGAAGCAGTATAGAGGAGTGTTGTGGAGTGCAGTTGGCGAAATGTTACAAATAAATAGTTGCTAGCAAATAAATCAAGACTAATTTAAAAAAAATTCATAATAAAATATTCATTGGACACATTCTATTTATTGAATTGGTCACAATTTAATTTCAATTCAGCTCAATTTTATTTACATAGCGCCACATCACATCACAACAGAGGTCTCAGGGGTGTGGGAGATAAAATTGACATTTCTCATTATAAGGCTCTGGCAGTCAGAATAAGACAAAACAAGGCTATGGTGCACATTTATGGGTTTTTTTGTGAAAAGTGCTCCCTAGCTAAAACCTAGCGGTAAGATACTATGGTAGCAGCTGAGCATGGCTGTAATAAGTTATGAGGTCACAAGGTCTGGGCCTTTGTAATTGTATGTAGCTTATAGCCTATTAATAATAAAAAAAAAGAATAGAAACCACTGATAGCGCGATCAACTTAAATGAAGTCTTTAGAACCATGTGGATGCACTGATTACAGTCGCAACCTTCATTTCAAGTTGAAAAACGGTTTCCCCATCAGCGTCCATACTCAATGAATCACATGAAAACATTTTGCCCGCAAAATCTGAGAGCATTGCTGTTTGCGGGCAGAGTTTTGGGCAATAAATATGTTTTGTGAATTTCCGGTTGGCTGTAATATCAACCAGACCGTCCTCTGCATTCAGCACTAACCAGCTGTATTTTATGTTTTCAAAGTAACAATAGTGCCTATTGATTGATTGACTGAGCTACTTTATTAATTGTAAATATAAAAGTGGCACCTCCAACGAGAGATGCCCCAGCTACAGATACCATCAAAAGGACAAAATTGTTGTTAAGCAATTTTAGTGAGTCAAGCAGTGGGTAGAAAGACCATAAAACACACACACACACACACACACACAGAAGAAGATGGCAAAATTCAGCTTTCATAAAAAGTTTTTTTGCCAGCAGGCCTATGTATTTCATTATAGATCATTAGTTTGTGTGACTGTATTGTGACATTGGTTGTGTGTAAGTGTAATTTTGGTAGAATTAATGTAAATAAACTATATTAAAAGAAACAAAACAATATAGACCTCACCAATTTCTAAACCCTGGTTACGGTCCTAAGTCTGATTAAGACAAATCAGATGGCTATCTTACAAAGACTTTTTTTTTATTTATTTATTTTTTTTTACAGAATTCCCATTTTGTGTGTCCATTGATGAAAATAGCAGAAAGATATTAAGATAGTGATGGTGTGGTTGGACAGCTTGTTCCATTTCAGATCCGGCCCCCAGCTTTTGTCTGTTATCCACAGAGTGGCAACATACATTTACTAAACATTTAATATTTTTTGCTGCTCATCTTATTTTTACATTGTAGCTATGGGTTAGCTTACACACTATATTTACAAACAAACAAAACATAATTAGATTCGATAAATGATTTGAAAGCATTCAAACCCCATTAGCAGAATTATTACTCACTTCAGATTCTATAAAATGCTATCAGCCCCAACCTTAATGGGTAGAACAACAAACTGGCTGGTATGCCAGTTTGTTGTTCTACCACAGGCGAAGGGGTCAGGGGGTCATTTCTTTTTGGAAAGTCTAAGAGTCTTTTGCTTAGTCACAAAAAGGCTTACCCTGATCATGTTATTTTGCTCTTGATCTCAGTCAGCATTGTTGTGAGTATTTGATCCATTTATTTTTTAAGTTTTTTTATTTTGTTTTGAATCTGCCCACATAATGCAGGTGCACAGAGCCACAGTAAGCCATTTAAATTGGCTTTTCTACCCTTTAGGTTTAGTTTATTCTGCTGTTTTAACCTTTATGTATGCTGTAATGTGTCTTACATAGTATCTGTCTACAGGACAAATAGAGACAGATGCAGTTTTAAAACAACAGCAGGACTCTAAAATTATTTTTAAACTGTAAAAATTTGCTAAAAAGATCAGGGTTATTTTGCTGTTAGGTAGGAGTGGGACCTATAGCAGCTTTTACCAGCTTGCACACACACTCCTCTCTGCTGAGTGACTTCTGTTTACCTCTCCTGCTAATGAGACATGAGGACGTGTTCGGCTAACTTCCCAGCAATAAGACTAAAAGTTTGAAGCTGTTAGCAGTTAGCTCTGTTAGCAGTTAGCTCAGAGTTTTAGCAGGACAGTGCTGTGATTTCGGTGGACGTAACCGGGCTGTTATTGTCCCGGTGTTAGAGCCGAGCTGCGGGTGCACAGACATTATTCAGGTATAACGTAACCATGGCCCCACTTACCTCACCATCTGGATGCGGCAGCTGCCTCCGCCTGATCCACACAATCTCTGAACTAGAAGTTAGAATATCCATCTTGTACCAACTACAAGAAGAAGAAAGGTTCTTCGATTCCATGGTAACTGTCGTCGTTACCACCAAAACAGCCGGTGAACTGGATTCAACTTTCCCATGCCTGGATGTCCTCATGGCCAAGGCCACAGACCACTGGATCCAGCTGGGAGCTAAGCCCACAGTTAGCTCCACTCCAAGCCGCAAGGAGCCATGGACTACTGTCCTTAAGGCCATACATAGTAGGAAGCTCCCTGTGTGTTCCCCTTCACTTCAGGACATAAAGCTGACTAATTAATTCTCCATCCAGGATTTGTAGGACTCCACAGTCTGATGGCCTCTTGTCTCCATGTTGCTCCAAGCCATCTGTCTCTCCTGTTGATTGCCACTCTCACCAACATGCACCCCTTTCATGACCTGGCAGAGTGTAATTCACTCCTTACCCGGTAACCAGCTTGCCAGTTCAGGCCACCGAACTTAAGGGGGCACGGGCTCGGTCCCAACAACATGGCCCATCACTACGTTCCAGCCCGAAGGACACCGCCGCTTGTTCTGTGAACGCTGATCATCGGTGACTCCGTAGTCAGGAATATTAAATCCAAAACGGCTACCACTTACTGCTACCCCGGTGTCATGGTTTTGGACATAGTTTATAAAATCCTGTCTCTTCTGAGTAAACATCCGCACATAAGAAATGTTGTCATCCATGTTGGCTCTAATGATACCGCTAAGAGTCCAAAGTTTTAAAGGGGTATTTTATCATTCTTTTTAAGTCACTCAAAGACTGCAACAAAGCTGTTTTTATCTCTGGACTGATCCCCTCTTACCAGCATGGTGTAAGGTGTTTTAGCAGGCTGCTTGGTCTAACACATGGCTTCAGTCAGTATGCTCCTCACACAATATGTCTTAATTGAGAATTTCAACCCTTTCTGGAAGCGTGCACCGTTTTTTAACAGAGATGGTATTCACCCTAGTCATTGGGGTGCTCCTGTCCTGGCTGCAAACATTTTCCCGCTGCCAAATGTGCATGACATTCTATCCCCGTAGCAAACCTGGACCCATCACTGGTCAGTGAACGGACTACTGTGAGCTGAGATCAACGACTGATCTTGCGGCATGTGCAAAGAAAAATACCAAGTGTGGTTCCAACTTTGTGCAGCCAGAGAAAAGCAACTGCGGCCACCGGACTCGGAGCCTGCAGCCGCCTTGCTCCAGCAAGTTTTAAATGTCATGTGACATGGTGACGTTTTGCAGCGCTGGCGAAAGTCAGACACAATTTCTAACCAGCATTCCTTATTTTATGTTAAGTAAACATACCTATTAACACAGTCCATACCGTTCACCACCACCACCCACTGGTGTATAAAGCCACCGCCTGGTAGTGCCATCTCATGGACATCCCATATTCCGGTAATCGCAACGCAAAGTTATGGCAACCAAAATCCATATAGGACACATTGGAAAATTAATAATCTTGTAGAGATTTGAGCAAAGCCGCCAACTGTAGCGACCTGTAGAAATGCACTTAAAATGGCCCTTTTTAATGTGAGATCTTTCTCCAATAAGACTTTTATTCTAAATGACTTCATTTTATCTGCACATTTAGATTTTATGTTTTTAACAGAAAAATGGCCTCAAACTAATGATCATAGCCAAATTGCTGAACGGACCCATTCTGTAAGTTTAATATTGTAAGGATGTCCCTGCAGTTAATTGTGTGGTTTGGGCGAGCTAGCTTTATTGAGCATTGCTAAACA